ATTGCACCCTTCTGGGATGCTTTTTCAAATCTTTTTTTTTTTTAATTAAAGAATGTCTCTAGAATTCTGTCAAAATTCCTTGTGGGAGTTTTCTGCAAAAGCGAGTCTGAGAACAGACCAAGCAGGCGAAAAAAAATAGGCCATCCCTTAAAGAAAATCAGAGGAGGAACTCATAAGATGCGCATGCTTCATCAATATTCATGAACAACTTCTGTAGAATGTAAACTCTACAAAAGACAGTGTTTTCTTAGCTTTTAGGAAACATTTTTGTCTGAATGAGCAACTGTCAAGTGGCACAGTTCAAGAGATTCCTGCTGCAGAGAGACGAAACTGCAGCTCTTCAAACAGCATAGCTTATCTAGCGAAGCAAGCTGAAATGTAGTTGTCTTAGGGGTGTCCACAGCCAGGAAGGTGCCCACAGAGCTTCTTTGCAAATTTGTTTGATAGTCTGGCATTCTCTTGGGCAAGGCAATCTTTCCCTGTATATCAGAAACCTGGGAGTTGTCATTCTCACAACGTGGAGAGTAAAGAACTCAGGAGGTTAACCTGAAGAAATAACATAAAATATTCTGCCATTAAAAAAAAAAAAAAAAAAAGTCTGGGCATATTATTATTTTTAATGTTGTGATGTTACTACTTCTGCTTTCAAAATCTGTTTTTTGCCTAGCATTATGTACTTTTTTCAGACTTGTTTTTTTATTTTCGTGGAGACTTCCTCTTACACAAGGTAGCTTCCTCTTGGCACCTTGTCTGTGTGTAGAGACACTGCGCTTTTTCTCCAGCGCCTTGATAAACATTAACTTGATGCCTAATTCTGACAAAGGTCTATCTGTTGCAAGGAGATCAGATTTAAGCTGATGGAGGTTGGGGAAAGGCTTCTGAGAAAACCATATTGCCGTTTTGATGGGAAGCTGGAAGTTGCAGATTACATGAGGTATTGCCCAGCCAGTCCTCTTTCTTCAGCTTCATTTCCATGTTATGAAGAAAAAGAAGCCTGATGGTGAGAAAAATGAGAGAGAAGGAAAGAACTCTGTCAGCATGACTGCTGTTTTTAGGTTTCCTCTTAACTTTAATACTTTTGATTATAATGAGCAAAGTTCTGGAGAACTCAAGTTACGTCCAGTCACTGGAACGATTCCTCACTTGCAGACAAAACCCAAAATAGAAACAGAGCATCTAGAATATGCTCTCTCTTCCATACTGTGGTTTCTCTGAAGTATTTACTGAAATATTAGAAGTATTTACTGAAATGGTCTGCTGCCAGTGAGACACCAATGGGTCATCTCACTCTTTGGGAGGTCTTAATACTGTGAAATGAGAATAAGAAGGCTAGAAGGTACAAGCAAAAATATGGCAGGCATCTTTTGCAGCGTTTTCTTTGCTTCTGAGTCAAAGTACTGTTTTTCTTGGATAACGTGGGTTTCTTGTGGCACCCAGTTGCTCTGGAGAACACGCTGATAGAAAGCTGAATCAAATATTTTATTTTAGAAATAAATTTTATGAATTTGCCATCTTTCATTGTGTGAAACGTTTAACTGTCTAGGAAACCCTATACTGGCCAGTGTGTCCTGAATAGCAATCAAAACTTATTTTCTTCTGCAGGGAGGCTGCAATGGGTGCATGGAGATGCTGATGTCTTCTGCTGAATAGTTCATGCAGCTTCTGCACGTGGTTTCTCCAGTGCTGTGTGGTTGTGGACTAGGTTCTCATGGATAAAACTTTTGACTTCCACAGTGTTTTTCCGTGCTCAGTGTGTTTTGGCTCCTACTTACAAAGAAATGAGCCCATGATTCTGCGATGTCGTTGTGAAAGATCTGGCTGACATGATAGTCATTTACTCTGTCCCCTAACTGAAATCTGGAGAGCACTGCTAATCAATAGTAAACTTTCTTAAAACTCTTTTTTTTTTCTTGAATCTCCCCCACGTGACCTTACGGAAATTCATATTTGACTTTTGAATTCCTACCTTTGCTCTGGATGAATAGGACATAAATGATGACGCGTAAAGACTCCATACCCTGTAATCAACAGGGAGGGCCTAGCCTGATTTCTGTCTTCCCCAAGTCTCACAGTTTGATGTTATTGATCTTCAACATAAAATAACTACTATTCCTGTGCCACCCAGGATTGGGACTAGTTGTTTATAAGTTCTCAAGCACTTCAAACAGGCAGTTTTAAGGCTTTTTCTTTTCCTCCTTGAGCGTTTTTATGAAAGTGGACTGGTCTTGAACCTCGTTTTATGAACTGAGTGTGTTTTACTCCCTGGTTATTCTATGATGCAAGTAATAAAATAGGCACTGAGACTTGTCCAGTCCTTGTGTTTGCAGATGAACCAAAGCAGAAATAGCCACAGAAGCTTTTTTTCTTCTACCGCTACCGAGAACAGCTGAGAAGAGGTTAAAGAAGCATTTGGCTACTGTAATTAGTTGGATTTACAGTCAAGGACAAAATGATTTTTTGTTTGTGATGGAACTTCCCTGAAACATGTTCTATAAAAAGAAGTTTGATAAAATCATTGATCTTGATATAAAATTTCTTGCATGATAGACCCTAGAGCTGTTAACCCAGTATCTTTTTGTCCACAATAGGTATGTTCTGTCTGACAAATTATTTGATTCAGAAGCTTTTGAATAGGCTAAGGTAATACATATTACCTTATACATATGCCAATTTTAGTAACTCTCTGCATCTTTATTCTTGGCTCTGCTTGTTAACTGGTTCCTTCTCTGGGAACAAGTAACTTCATGCTCTGTTCGTAGAGTGATTGTTGGGGCAGTGTGATGCTGGAATGGATTCTACACCTCCAGCCATGAAAATCCAATTGAAAAATACTAATTTTTGTATCACGAACTTCCCATTTAAGACTGTTTTTTCCTTTATCAAGATGCTAGTTCTTCCTTACTGCTAAAGAGAAGTGATTTTATTGCTGCTGCTAGGGAATGATTCATTAGCATGTGGTTTGCCCTCGCAGGAAGCCGCGTTCCTGACGCTTGTCTCACCAGAGCAAGATGCCACTGTCTTCCCTGGGCAGGGGCACCAAAGGTGCCTGTCTGTAGTTCCTGCTCCTGCTGGGGGACTGCCAGGTAGACAGGGAAGGTAACGGCCCATGGGAGGCTGGCGGTGGCTCTGCACCCACGCAGCCAGGAGCAACGTGGTGTCACTCAAGCTGATAGAATCACAGAACAGTTGAGGTTGGAAGGGACCTCTAGAGATCATCTTGTCCAAACTCCCCTGCTCCAGCAGGGACATCCAGAGCACGAGGCACAGGGTGACATCCAGATGGATTTGGAAGATCTCCAGAGAAGGAGACTCCGCAGCCTCTCTGGGCAGCCTGTGCCAGGGCTCTGTCCCCCTCACAGTGAAGAACCTCCACGCTAGCAGTGGAACAGCCCTGCACACAAGGCCTTGCCAAGAGTCCCATCTCAAAGAAGGTGACACAGCAGATCTCATGCAGCGTGGAGCTGATGCTTTAGTTCTTGGAGAAGTAGGATTATTCGAACTTTGAAATCACTCTTTTATTATTGGGTTTTCCTATTGGTAAATAAAGTAGGCAAATGGGAAAGCAGAGGTAAGTAAGAGCCAATTAAAAATGTGAAGTGCATCATGCAGCTTCCTCCTGAGCAAATCTGCTGTTCACAGGGTGGTCCCGCTCCCCTGCTCCTCTTCTCCCTGCTCTTACAAGAGCACTCGGCCACCCGAGCAGCCCCTCAGCGTTGGGCTGGTTTAGCTCCCCAGCTGACAAATGCCAGCCCTGGGATCACATGGCAGGAATAGGTCAGCTGTGTTGTGAAACTGCACCTCTTGGGGGAGGTTTAGAGAGGTAATGAATGTGCTGCCAGCCTGTGAGCAGATCCCTCTGCTCTGTAGAAGAAGCCACCATTGCCTGTTTTTCCTTAAGGGGTTGTGCTGAGCGTCTCTACCTGTTGGTACCCTGGAATCCGTGATTCTCTGCTGCAGTGTTCAAGACTGCTTATTGTTCTTCTGCTGATGTTTTGCACTGACAGCTTATCTGGAAAAAGAAAAAGAAGAAAAAGCTTTTCCTGCCGCTACTGTGGAAGAAGTTGTGTTTTTTGTATGGGCAGTAAAGAGAGCCAGACGCTGTGGTGATGGTTTTTCTCTCGGTGGGAATATAGAGCCCTTGATGTTGGTTCGCAGGAGACCTACTCTGCGTGAACTCCACGAGCCCAACGAAAGATGTGACGGCGAGTGACAGGCTCAAGGTCCAGCAGTGCAGCTGTGAGCTGTTCTGTGCTAACAGGGCAGTCTGTTTTCTTCTGAAACAAGTCAGCGCATGGAAGTGAAGCAGAACTCATTGGCCTGTCCCTTGTAACATGACTTTAAACATCTTGCTGCGCTATTCTAGAGAGTGCTCAAACGCTTGGTCCGTGCTGGCCAGAGCAAGCTGGAACTTGCCAGGAGTCCGTATAGTGCAAGCCACTCTGCATAGAAATAGTCCTTGTCAGAGCAGTTTTCCCTCTTCTTACTCCATTCCAGTGTAGAACTCTCCTCTCTACACCAAAGGCTTGGGAAGATGTTGCCCTTCTGTCCCTCATCCTTTGCTGTCACAGCGTGTCAGTGCTTGCAGCTCGTCACTGCTTCTCTAGCTGAGCGAATGGTGTCTGCCCTTGTGTAACCTGCTTGTTGACACCCAGCAAGGACCTTGGTCTCATCTGGCAACCCTGATCAGGACTGGAAGCTGGACAACCATTAGTGACTAATCCTGTGACTCTCTAGTTCTCTCCTCTCTGGGCTGTGGTGACTAGATTGCTAACAGCGCCTAAACTAGGTGTTTAGGTATTTACATTCTTCATTACAATGTGTGCTGCAGATACACCTTACTGAGAAAACGGTATTATGCCTAATAGTTTGGTGAGAAATGACTATTATTGGGCTGTTCTTGTTTGTGCAATGTATTAGTCTTTTTAAAAAGTCATAGTCCTAAGAAGAGATATGCCCTAAAAATATACCAAACTTGACTTTTGTTTTGTTTTTCCATCCAGGTATCGCATGCTGTTGCTAAACTTGTATTAGTTAGTTTTCACTGGCAAATCTCAGAGATTTTGGAACGGTAAGTACAAGTAGTCTTTGCCTCTCTGTGCTCCATGCTTTTCCCCACCTTTTTTTTTATTTTATTTTTTTTCCAAGACTACTCAGAGTATTCTATGAGTATCCTTAGATACATGTCTTTGGGCCTGAAATCAGGCTACACAGTCCATGCTGGGGAACAGAGGAGAAACATTATTTTGTTGAGGCTGTGCTGCCTGTAAAGAATTGTCAACAAGGAGGCGGTAGTGGTGACAGCTGCCTTTCAGCTTGAGGAATTCTCATGCTAGGAACCCTGTAGGTGCATTTAGCTTAAACATTGGAATAACAGATTAAGAGCTGCATCTATAATTATTTCTTTTAGGTATAAATAGAACATATGTTCAATTTTTAATCTATTTCTAGCAAATGTTCTGCTATTGAGAAAAAGGTGAGCCATAAATCATCAATGCTAAACTCATGCTGATGTATAAGTTAGTAATAAATTTCTGATGATGCTTTTGCTCCTTCTGGACGTAAGTGGTGTTTTTTTCCCCAATCTGTCTAGCATTTGGAGAGCAGCAGGAACTGGAAAATGGTGCTGCAGTTTATTTGTCCTTCGGTTACTGTTGAAGTGCAGTGAAATCCTGCAGCTGACTTCAGGAGGAGTGTTCAGACTTTGCCCAAGTGTGTGCAGGAAGTGTGTCAGGAGGCACTGCTGCCTGGCAGCCCCTCTAGAACATACCAGCTCAGAGCTGAACGCTGTCTGAAAATAGAGAGTGCATCAGTCTGACTCTCTGCCATGCCAATTTTGGCCCTGTTAGCCAGCAACTTTGTTCAGCTAACGTAATGGGAAGTGGCTTTCATATGTGTGTTGTTGCAGCACCGCTGGTAACTAGAAGGTTGTGTGCTTCTTGGTTATCATGCTTCCTGCGACAGCCCTTCCCTAGGGAATGAAGAGGGTGAGGTTCATCCATAGCAGCTCCGAGCAGTTCTGGGTGACTAATCAGATTTAAACAGGTGCTTAGGTTTATTCCTAAAGCTCTGACTTTTCCAGTTGTTCTTCAATAGATGTAGCCCTCACTTCCATCTTCCTTCTCTTGTGTTTGTTGTAGAGTGACATTCTGAAATAATGCCTAATACAACAAAAAAGTGCTAGTGGGAATGGAGGCTTTCCAGCCTAGTCACAACAGTGGTTCTGCTCTCTATTGTGTGAATTCATTGGTGATTTTTTACTGGAGATAGAAGCATTCCCTTGCAATGAAAACCTCAAGCATCAGGGCACATTTAATTCTAGTGTTGCTGATAGCTTCATATTCCTAAAGGATGCCCGTCTGTCGCAAGGCAAATATTAATGGGATATTAGACTAGAATCCGTGTGACACCCAACTAGGAAAACTTAGTTTTTGCAAAGCAGACAGACAGGAGCATCGCTGGAGCGTGTTATCATGGGCTCAGGGCTGCTCTAGGAGTGAAGGCGTTAATAATGAGTAGCAATCTTATCTTCAACAGTTATTTTTCTGGCTACTTACAAAAAAAAGAGGGGGGAAGATTTGTAGAGAAATGTCCATCAAGGATAATAAAGGAGATGTTAGTCTGTTACTGGGTAAAGTGTTATCTCTGTTGCTGATTTTGAAGAAACTATCAGAAAGGTTATTTTGATGATAGTTCAGCTTGTTCCATGAGCAGACTTACCCAGGACCTAGATGTATTCACTTTCCTTGTTGAAGCCTACACAGAGCCTGTAATTTATACAAGTGAGAAGGATCAATTTAACAAAGCAAAAACCATCAGAAATTGATTCCTCAATTGCCCTTTCAGGCACAAGTCGAATGCTGCCCAGTTGCTAGTAGAAGCACGAGTTCAGCCCACCTCATCCAAACACGTAAGTATGTAAACTATTTTGGTCTGTCCCTTGGCAGAGACAGCTTTGATCCACCTCATTTGAGGATTGCGTTACTAGTGACACAGTCTGTCCCATATTAACCTTTCCCAGACTCAAGTCCTTACACCCCAACTCAGCACTGTTTCAGCTTTTTCAATGAGAACCCATTCAAGAGTTATCTGGCTGTATAACATGATCTCTAAGGCAAGTTGCTGTGAGCTTCAGCTCCTAATGCAGCATAATGATTTTTCAGGGGCACTTTGAGGCAGATTTTCATACTGAGTATCTGTATAGCAGCTAACTCTGCAGGCAGAAGCTGTAGTGATGAGCCCAGAGGGACAGAGTACAAAGATTTTGCTGTTCACGGTGAGCAGTTGATCTGCACAATCACCTAGTCATTGCTGACTTGATGAATCTTGTTCTGGTCAATAAGTGGTGCTGCTTTAAACAAAGTTGCTTTATTTCCTTTCTTCATGCAGTCATGTTATAAAATGTGCTCTGCTGGTCATGTGGTTGGGCTTTTGTGCTCCTGCTGCTCTGTGAGCATCTCTGGCACATAGGAATATGCATAGAGGCTGAGGGCTGTCACACACATGCCTCCCAAAAGGTGGCAGAAGTTTAAATAGATGAAAAAAAAAATGGTTATGTGGCTTCTCTGTGCTCCAGCTTCTCTCCTGCTTGTAGCTTTGTAGTGCCTTGTCTCTGATGCAATGCTGGACCTAGTTCTTCAACTCCCAAGGGTGAGCAAAGATATGTTAAGGACTAGCTCTGTTACGAGTTGCTAGCAAAGGGCAGGTTTAGACCAGTGCAATGGAGTGTTTCCTTATTTTTCAAGCTGAGAAATAGTATATATGAGAGAACTGAGTTCTGGGTAGTGCCAAATTGAGGCAGGAGCTGTTTGGTGGCTGTGAATCTGTTGTGATAAAAGAGGCTCTTGAGAAGGACCGACTGCAGGGACAGTGTAGCACCCCAACACACCGATTGCTTGTGAAGCTGTCCTGGCCTGGACCTCACCTGAGACATTAGCACAAAGTGATGGTGACTGTGAGGGAGGTGAGAATGAACTGCTTTGTTTCCTCAGTAAAGCTGACTTGTGTCTCTCCTAGGCAATGGTACATTCCTCTCATCACTGCGCAGTGTGCATGCAGTTTGTCCGGAAGGAGAACTTGCTCTCTCTGGCTTGTCAGCACCAGTTCTGCCGCAGCTGTTGGGAGCAGCACTGCACAGTGCTCGTCAAGGATGGTGTTGGAGTTGGTGAGTTCTTTCTTCAGTGTCTTGACTATTGTGAAGATCAGTGGCTGAGTCGCTGTAAGAGCATCACAATAATGAGCAAATGGAGCATGGAATAAATGTTGATGGCAAACCACTTTTGTCCTTAACTTTAACTAGTCATGTGACATGAGTATTGACACACTGTCTGTAGAGTGTTATTCTTGCCTAACAGAACCTGCATCTCCATAGACCCGTTTGATGTTCTTTCTCCCCTTTGTGATTTCAAGGGCAGAACTGTAACAAATTGCAAGTTGCAAAGCTGCTGTATTTTGAATGTGCATTTCTCATGATGTACTGTTTCAGTGTCTTTGGAGTGTTTGTGGATACAAACTTCTGTTTCCTTTTTGTTCAGTAGAAGCCAGTAGTTGCCAGGGTTGTCATGGGCTTCTCTTATCCTGTCCTTCACGCTGCCTTGACATTAACATGCAGCTTTCTACTTTAAGTGCCTGACCTTGTGAATACTGGGTGAAGCACTTACTGGTCTTGGATGCACTTGTGCCCTGTCGTCTTTCAGTGAATACAGTTAGGCTCCAGCTTTTCAGCAGCCCTGATAGATTTGTTTCGCAGTTGTGCCCCTCTTGACACAACAACAGATGGCACCTAGGAAACTGTTGGATGCTCTGTGTGCATTCACTCCCCAGCACATGCTGCCCTGTGCTGAAATGTTGCTTTCTCTTTGCAGGGGTCTCCTGCATGGCCCAGGACTGCCTGCTTCGGACGCCAGAAGACTTTGTGTTTCCATTGCTGCCTAGTGAGGAGCTGAAAGACAAATACAGACGCTACCTCTTCAGGGACTATGTGGAGGTACTGGCTCTTAAAATACCCCGAGTCAATTATAATCACCAATGACTTGCAGAAATTCTGTTTGAAGCGTCTTGCATCTCTGATGAGAAATGCAGTACCTGCAGCAAATTTGACTCTGATAAACACGATGTGGCTGCTGCTATAGGACAGGGCTCGCTGACAAAATACTCTAGCAGTTTGCAAAAGTAGATTCTACTCTAAGGTCACCCAGGAACTTCTTAGCTGCTGCTTGGTTTCTGTCCTGAAGCAGAGTTTCTGAGTGTTGCAGCTGAGAACTTAAAATTTCAGTCTGAATGTTAAGACCTTCTTTGTTCCTGCATGGATATTTCAGATTTTGAAAAAATAAGTGCTTCATCACAGTGCAGTGCACAAGTGTAATAAGTGCAGCTATATTGGCTTGCTTTATAACATAAGTTTTATTGAAACTTGTGGTTTATAAACCACAAAACTTAAAACTGGTTATGTTCTTCTGCATGCACTGCTAATCTTACCACCTTGGTGTGTTCACAGAGCCATTATCAGCTGCAGCTGTGTCCTGGTGCAGATTGCCCTATGGTCATACAGGTACAGGAGCCAAAAGCCCGGCGAGTGCAGTGCAATCGTTGCAATGAGGTCTTCTGGTAAGAAACAGAAAAGGCTAAAGATCGCGGGGAAAGTGTGTGCTGTCCTCAGGGCTACTCCATCTGCTTGCCAACAGGTTCAGGGTGTAGAAGTATCTCAAATGCATTGCTGGAGTTGTTTGTAACTTGAGTTATCTTGAGTAACTGGACACTCAGATTCTGATTTCTTCAGGTGGTCAGTCCTCCCCCAGCTTCTTATGCTGCTTGGGCAGTGGGTGTTCTGACAACCCAGAAAGTCATGACTTGAGTAAGCCAGGAAATCTTGCCTTCTGTTAATTTAGTTAGGTTTCAAATACTGGTAAATAGATTCTGGTAGTAGGTATGAAGGCCTCAGTTATCAGCTGGTACTTTTGAGATTTTAAATTTATTACACCAGAGTTTATGGTGTGTTATTAGGCAGGTGTGAGCCTCAAACATTGTCTTAATTAAGCTCTTAATGATCTTAATGAACCTTGTCTAACTTCAAGCATATAGAGGACAGAAAAAAAAAAATTAAAAGCAGTTTGTAGTAAAACAAGGCTGCTGGAATGTCTTCTGCTCTTGGGTCTCTAGAATCACTGCTGCTGAAAATGATTCGGGGGATGCAATACAGGGCGAGTTAGAGTCCAACTTCCTGGTGTCTCCATGCAGATAGCTCTCACCTAGGGCTGTTGGGATCATGCTGATACAGGAGCCGCCTCCTGGATCCATTATCAGATTTAGTGTACTTGTGAAGCACTTCTGTATGCCAAGAGCCCTGTAGTTCCCTTAGAGCAGACATAGGTAGGAAGGTTAGAGCAGACTTCTGTAGGAAGGGATATTTTAGCCTTCAGGCTTATGTTTTTTGTTAGAGAAGTCCTCAATTCGCTCTCATCCTGACACAGGTTTCCCTTTGAGAAAGTGGGCTTCAGTGGAGCACTGGCCATGCAAGCACTACCTTGGTCTTTGTACTCTAGCACTCCTCAAGTACATTTGTGTCCCTTACCTCTCTTGATATGTGAGATCTTGATTATCAGAAAAGCTTTAATTCTTGACTAGCATCCTTCAAAATTGACATCTCCTTTTTTTTGTTTATTTTGTTTTTTATTTTTCCTGCTAAGCTTCAAGTGTCGGCAGATGTACCACGCACCCACAGACTGTGCTACCATTCGGAAATGGCTCACCAAGTGTGCAGACGACTCCGAAACAGCCAACTACATCAGTGCTCACACTAAAGATGTAAGGAGAAGAGTGCATGCTCCCTCGTGCCCTGAGAAGCAAGATACAGTTCTATATGTACTTAGTACTGTGTCCTGCTTTTCCAGACAGCAAATCCCCCCCTTTAGGGACTGTAATATTGCACAGCTTAACACCTTGGGAACACTTTGTGCAGGAAATAACTGCCCTCCTGACCACAGTGCCACAGGGATCCCTGGGGACTTGGTGATCCTTACTACAGACTGGTGTGGTGCAAAAATCATTGCCAGTCAGGTGTGCTGCCCTCCCGTGGGCTAAAGGCAGAATCGTGGCTGCCTCTAAACAGTGCAGAGTCATATTTAAAGGGGGAAGAGGGAGGTACAGCAAATGCAGAGCTACTATCAAATAATTCACTAGTGTTCTTTACATTTGGACAAATATACAGAGTTCTGAGTTGGAAGGTGCAGGAGGTTTGGCAAAGACAACAGGAGGGGATGACAGCATCTGTAAATAAGGCATTGGGACACTTGTAGTAAATTTAGACTCATAAAGAAGATATAGTATTGCATATTGTGCAGTCATGTCTACCGGCAGAATTTGTAGCCCTTAATTAAAGATTGTAGATATTTTGCTTTTATTCTCTAGGTTAACTGTCTGCAGATTGGAATGTTAAATGTTACTTTGGGATTTTGTGGCCTGACTTGAAAACAGTTCTGAATCAGCTGCCATTTGTTATATCACTGCTAATGACAATTGTGGCAGTGCTGATTAGCCACAAGCTTAAGCCTTGTTAGAAAAGTGAGTACTTGAACTAGAGATATTAAATTCCACCCCTTCTCTGGAGAAGGTGTCAATGTGTTGTGATAGGGCTGTTGCTGCTATGCTCTTTTGCAGCACTAAGATTCTGTTGCATGGAGGATTGTCCTGGCATGCATTTTAGCTGCCATTAAAATATTTAAAAGCCATAAAACTTGCTTCCTTTTTGGTACTTTTGCAAGCCCCCTGCCAAGAAAATGTAACAGAGTCTGACACTCCAGGGCATCAGTGGACTCCTGATGGAGCAAGGAGGTGTGTGGCACTTACTGTGCTCAGAGTCTCTGCTAACTGTCCTCCGTTAGTGGCTGCTGAAGGCAGGATACAGAGCTGATTTATCTTGTAGCGTAAATAGCTGTGGAAGCTGAAGAGATTATATCTATATGCCTGAGAAACTGCTAAATTTGAGAGCTTTAGTTTTGTGAGTAGTAGGAACACCAGCAAGGAGATTATATGTTTTAGAGCCAGCAATTCCTGTGCTTTCTGCTGGTGTGCCATCCCAGGCTTTCAGCCTCCTTTTTAAATAGAGCTGTCAGGAATTGATGGGAGAGGGGTGTCCACATGCTCATATTCTCACATACACATACATATATAAAAAAAGGGGCAAAGGAAGGGACAAATAATCATGCAAGTGTTGTTATTCTCTAAAGAGTTGCTGAAGAGAGACTTGTCTAACGGATATCTCTGTTTTCACAGTGTCCCAAGTGCAATATCTGTATTGAAAAGAATGGAGGCTGCAATCACATGGTGAGAAGTGCTCTCAATACTTAGATCCTCCTTGTTCTTAGCAGAGTTTTTTTCTTCCACTAACTAGTATCTCCCTTCTCTTCTCTTTCAGCAATGCTCCAAATGCAAGCATGGTAAGTAGAAGGATTTGGAAGCAGTTTTCTCAACATTTTTAAGTGACAAGGTTCTTTTTTAGTGATATGAAGAGCAATTGTGAATATCGACTGAAATATCTTTTCTTCTAGTAAAAGGTGAACATGCTGCTAATTATAGACGTGTGTGTGATCGTTTTATGTTTTTCCACTGACTATGATCTCAGCTGGGTTCTGATTCAGTGCTGTTTTGGCTCCCTCTCCCTGATGGGTCCATTGTATAAAGAAGTCTCCATCTCTGTCACAAGGTTAAGAACAGAAACTCACAGAAGGAAATTAAATGCTTTATATGTATATGGACTTGTCATCAGTTGAAAATACTGGCAGAACTGAACCATTTATTTCTGTTCACTGATGGAAAGAATGAGTCCTACCTCAGATGAAACTGCAGAAGTTGTGAATTGTTTTGGATAACATTATGTGTTAAGACTTTTTCATCCACTCTTGTGCAAGTAACACCTCACTGGCTTTGCTAGCAGAATCTGTGTCTTTTGTCTTGGAGTGAGATGGCTTGTATTCAAGCCCTGTGTGTTAAATGTGCTACTAAGAAATATTCTAATCTCAGAACCTCCCTTGAAAGATGTTTAAAGTTTTCTGTCCTTTCTCATTTCCTTTGCTTTGGGGTTTGCAGCAGCACTGGACATGATTTGATGGAGCTCTGTGACAAGGGTGAGCAAGCAAGTGCCAAGATACCATGATGACTGGCACTCAGAAGGCTGGTGAACTCTGGAAATACCAGTTTCAATCTCTTTTTATAAGAGACATGAAAGTGATTCCTGTTGTAACAATTTCATCTCCATCTTTTTTTCCTTCCTAGCAGAATACTCCCAGCCTTCCCTTGAAATCAGGAAACTGCCACGCAGGTTTCACTGTTACTCTTTCTTCTACTTTTCAGTGACTTGAAGTGTCATAAACTACTGATCTCTAAAGTTACCAGGGTATTTACTTCCTCCTTGACAGAGAGGAGGGCAGACTTTTTTTTTTTTGGCATGAGTTTGTTCACTTTTGGATTGGATTGTTCATATTTAATTCAGCCAAAGAATCGTGTATGGCAGCATGCCAGTAGCGTGGAGGATGTAACTCGCAAGTAAGACTGCCTGCCTCTTCTATAATCTAGTGTGACAGCCTGTGCAGAGCACAAATACCATTCTGCATATTGGTCCAAGCCTCTTGGGGAGCACAGAATGCAGCAGTTGAGCGTTTATTTCCATACTTGCACGGGAGGCTGAGGAGCAAAAACCTTCAAGCCAAGCTGGTATTTTTGGCTCACCTGTTGCGTTCTGTTATGCAAGATGTGACAAAATACTTGTTTCTCAGCTTAGCAGAAATATCTAATAACAGATGGGCTGTGTCTACTGAAGCTTTTCTTTCTTAGAACTGTTTTTTTTTTCCTTCTGTGCATCACCCAGGTTTTTTTGCTGTTTTCTGCAGACTTCTGCTGGATGTGTCTGGGAGACTGGAAGACTCACGGCAGCGAGTACTACGAATGCAGTCGGTACAAAGAGAATCCTGATATTGTAAACCAGAGTCAGCAAGCACAGGCCAGGGAGGCCCTTAAGAAGTACTTGTTCTATTTTGAGAGGGTAGGAGACATCTCTTTGGCCAGAGCTGCTGTAGCCTTTTAATGCTCCCTGCCTGGTGCAAAGGTCATTGCCAGCAATCTCCGTGCAAGAAACTGCCCAAAGAGAATCTGTGCAGAATTTTCAGGCCTTGTTCTTTCTTAACTCAAAATCTTGCCCTGTGAGTCTCATCCAGCCAGTAATGTCTCCCACAAAGCAAATCATACTCACTCCCGTGTTTCCTTAAGATAGAGAAAATCAGTGCTACCTGTGTGCCACTGTACTGTCTTGTTGCAGAATGAGTGCTACTGTAGGAAAAAGATGTAGATTGATATTATTCCAATCATTGCCTTTCAGCATCAGAAGACTTCAGAGTTTCTTGTATTTTGTCTTTATAGAGGCCAAGAAATAAACCTTGCCATGTTTGTAGCTCTGCTGGTCACAGCAGACTTTTCGTTAAATGTCATGCTTGTTTTTTTAGAAGGTTTTAGAATATGTCTCAAAGCAATGAGGCAGTCAGAGCCTCTCTGTCTGTGCAGCAGTCAGTGCAGTGACTCAGGCCAGACTGCAATTCTAGAGCAGCTTCTGTGGAAGAGAATGGGGTAGATGATCAGTGCTGCTGCTTTTCAGTGCACTTGTTTCCCTGTTCAAGTGCGTTTGTTCTTCATGCCATGAGCCAAGTCTTGTGACAAAATAAATGTGCTCATTCTCAGCTCTCTAAACCAACAGGCCTTGGGAAATGGCCATGTTTACAGTCTGCATGAATGTCGGAGTTGTTCACTGAGCCCGCGTTAAATGTAAATTTAAACTCTTGACCTTTCTGTAGAAGCCCTTTAAATAGAGGAACCACCATTACTTTCCATCTTGTTAGTCAAAAGTCAATGCAGAGGACATTTCCACTCTGATGAGCTGGATTTGCTCCCTGTTTTTTGCTGCTGTCGGTGTGTTGTCTGCAGCCTCCACTACCTGCTGCTGGAGGGGCTACCTTGCTGTTCCTTCCCACAAAATGTCTTGCCTTGCTGGACTCCTACCCCTCTACAATTTTTGCTTGCTAGAGCTTGTGCTTTTCCAGCAGCAGTATTCTGGTCTCATGCCATTTTTTTTTCTTTCCTCACCCCTCCCTTTGCAGTGGGAGAATCACAATAAAAGCTTGCAATTGGAGGCACAGACGTACCAACGAATCCAGGAGAAAATCCAAGAAAGAGTTATGAACAACTTGGGAACATGGATAGACTGGCAATACCTACAAAATGCTGCAAAGCTACTTGCAAAGGTGGGTAGTTTGGGCTTGTTTAGCACAACGAAGACAATCTACATGCCAAAATGCAAAATTCACAGTACCAAGTGAGGGGAGAGAATTTTGAAAGTGATGGGTATGTGGGACAGTACATCTAGTCTAGGACATGAGCCAGCCAAAAATCATCTGGAATTGGCCTCTGTAAAGTTGCACTTTAACCGTGTCCATCCTTCCAAGGAAGGGGTAAGAAATTCCACCGTGAGATGTCACCCTTGTCGGAAATCTCCGCTGTTGATGTTGATCACCCAAATGCAATTGTGCTGACTTACAAGCCTGAGACTTTTTTTTCTTCTTTTCTTTTCCCCTCAATCCCACTATAGTGTCGTTACACGCTTCAGTACACATATCCGTATGCCTACTACATGGAGTCTGGTCCCAGAAAGAAACTGGTGAGTCATTTTGCTCTTTTTTGCCTGGTAGTATCTTGGGGTGTAGTTGACAGCATATTGGGCCAAAGTTAATTGCTACACTTTTCAAATGTTTCTTAAGGAGGAGAGAAGAAAGATGCCTCATCTGATTTTTTTTACCCTTTTGAATAAAGATATTTTGCTGTCAGTTTGGTTATTATGTCTCACTTCAAAAACTTAGTTTACAGATTCCATAAATGCATTAGGGCTCTTATTACATAGTGCAAAAATTGCAGTTTTCAAGCTGTTTGGTTTTTTTCCTACAAACCTCTCATAGTTCTGGATTACCACCAGCAAGTACGTGGTCTTAGTCACTGCTTTTTATCAAAGCAAGAGAGTTATCAATAACAGACTGCCCATTCGGGAGACTGTCCAAAATGAATAATAGAAAGTCAGCTGGAATGCAGAGAATTAGTAGAAGCACTCTGCCTTGAGAAGTCTCAGCCTTCAAACTACACAATTTTTTAACTGGGAAATTACCAGAATCTATGAGCTGCCTGGTTTTATTTTCTTGAGTTTGGGTATGGATAGGAAGGATAAATATGGTTTTGCTCCTCACTTGAGATTCACCAGCAGCTCAGTCATCTGATAGGTTTTGTTATGTTCCCAGGGCAGCATTGTATTTACCCTAATAAGAGATTTATCCAGAATGATAGGAGGTTGGAAGCGTGGATTTGTCCCCGGATTGGACTATCACACTGCTCAGAACCGTGTTTCATGTGAAGAGCTGCTGGAAGATAATTTTTCCATCTTTGAATCAGTGTAGCTTTGCTAGTTGTGCTTTTTGATTCCTACTCTGGAATCAGAGTTCCTTGCTGGCTTGGAGCATCCCATAGTATGGACATGTCCAGAAAGAGTCCTGAATTCACTGGACTTACCAGTCCAAGAAGAGATTCTTTTTTTGACTTAGTTGTCCAAGAAAATAGTTATCAGAATTTTCCATAGGATTGTGTATATTTGCTCAGACTGTGGACAGATGTTCTCCTTGGATCTGACTGACTCTGGAGCCAAATGGCTGCTCCTGGGTATGGTTAGCAGCCCCTCATGAAATTCTCCTGGAAGAATTTCATGACCCATTTCTGGCAAGATTAGCTGAGCTGTTAGCTATTTGTCACTTGTGCTTTTTTAGGCTCACATGCTTAATTTTTGAGTGATGCAGGTTAGGTCCTCACATGAGGAACTCCTGGAAGGGTGATAATGTGTAGCTGCGGAGGAATGGCTGAAGGTAGATAGGGAGGAGGCACAAACCTGCTTTGTTAGCACAGCTGTCAGTGGAATGCTTTTGTCTGTACTTCAAGCATAGCTTGTGATGTGAAGCTGCTCCACTAAACTTGTTTCTTGTTGCTGTGTAATTGTGCTGTTTGCAGTTTGAATACCAGCAGGCCCAGCTGGAAGCTGAAATTGAAAATCTCTCGTGGAAGGTGGAACGAGCAGACAGCTATGACAGAGGGGTGAGTTTTCTGCTGGCAAGATTTTGTTATAGTCGGGCTTAACACCTCTGCAGGAGAGCTAAGACAAGTAAGGGAGGATGCTGAGAAGCCGAGTGTGGTGGCTTTTTGTAGGCAGCAGGTGTTGCAGATGTGGAGAGCTCACTGCCTCACAGGAGGAGGGAGGGCTGCAGTTAGTCCTGAGGAATTGAAATGGGACCAGTAATGCTCAAGAAGAAGCTACATTCAGCCCTCTGATTAAGAGCCGAGTCCTCAGTTTTTTAAGACAGAGCAGGAGCTGAGTGGCTGCAGAGGGAGCCCATGCTAAGAGGAATTTACAAGTCCTAGTGATCCAGAATACAGATGTAGTGTGAAGAATGGTACCTCTCAGAGCAGAGCTGAGTATTTCCCTGGAGAAAAAGAACCCTTCTCTGAAGAGTTCACACTAACAGTTTCTCCCTTGTGTTTTTCCAGGACTTAGAGAATCAGATGCACATAGCAGAGCAGAGACGGAGGACCCTGCTGAAAGACTTCCATGACACATAAGCGAGGAGGAAGTGACAGAGTGCAGGGGTGAGAGCAGCGAGTGAAGTGATGGCAGCTTCACCGTGATAAGCAGGCACTGCCTCTGGGAGAACATGGCCAAGGACAAAGCCACCCCTCCCCTTGCAAGTCAGACACATGCAAACACCACATCTTAGTCCAGTTTGTTCTCTTATCTTTCTGTTTCTGCCAGGCTAGAGGCCAGAGTTCAGATTGGCATATTTCCTGGGACATTTCCCTCCTGCCCTTGATGGTTTCAGAAGGGGAGGGAGTTTTTCTCTGAATGGCTGTTAATAGTATTAGATCATTACAATTTATGTAATTTTCAACGGTTGTACAATTATACAAACAAACCTTAGAATAACACACAACCCTTTTTAAAAATAAATTGGCAGTGGAGTGTTTTTCCTTAATCTGCTTGTAAATTTAATGGGCTTTTCCCCCGTCTCCCTCTCCCTTCCTCTGACCCCAAAAGCCTCCCAGGCACTGAAGGAGGTTGCAAAGTAACTCAGCTAGATTTCCTGATCCTCCTCCAACCAGGGCTTTGTAGCATTGGCATTGCATGGGGAGAGTGGCTGGTGTTAAGAGTGGCTGCTGCTGTGTCTGACCTGACAGTACCAGCAGTGGCTGCAGTTTAGTGCAATCACATGGGGCATCTCTTCTCTCATAAATCAGCTGTGCAAAATCCTGCTACATAAACAGAAGAGAGGACTTGTAGGAGAGAGACCAGGTTAAAGCTGGGGATATGCCTTGAGGCAGGTCAGATCCTTGCATTTGATGAATCTTAGGTCTTCCATGTAGATTTTTTGCTTTACTTTTTTTGTTTTCTGGGGAGGGCATTGTATTGCCAAAGTGAGTGACAAGGGCGTAGTAGCATACTGTTGTTAATCAATGCTTGGGACTTTTGCAGAATGAAGCAATCCATGTTATAACAGTGCCATACAACCTGGTAAAGATTATTTGTGCCTGCTGGGTAACATGGGTGAGAAAAACTGATCACATTCATCAAGGTGAAACTAATTGCCACTACATCATGAGGAGGAAAAATGATGTACAACACGTTCCCTGGCACATGTGGGCAATATGGACAGGCACTTGAGAACAGGTGCACTGCTTGTGCAGAGCCAGGCAGAAAAATTAACTGGCAAAATTAATTTATTTGTATATTAGTATTGATGCTGGTGGAGACTTTCAGAAATTTGATTGTTAGGAGCATGTGGAGCTTTTTTATTAACATTCTTTTTCTAATGTAAAATATACACTAAAATAAAAATGTGAAAACCCAGTTCATGTTAGCAGGGCCTTAACGTGAAAATGGTTACTTAAATGCTGATGCTTGCCTGTTTGCTATGGGAAGCAGGTCCCATATTAAGATTTCACAGGCACATGTGTTACCTGCACGAGGAAAATGTTGTACGCAGAGCGGAGCTGGAGTCTCTGATATGAGGAAACCTTCACTTCTCTGGGGAAGTCACGGATTCCCTTCCATGCCACATTTGGAGGCACTGCCTTTGGTGCAATCCTGCACTCTCATGTTGTTCTTGCACAATGTCATTTGACAAGGATGAAACTGGAGGGGGAAAAGTCCTAAATTCCTACTTGCTAGAATAAGCTGACTCTGCTGGTGAAGCCATTTCTCATCTGCCCAAGATGTGAGACAGGTATTTGCAGCACGTATAGCTGAGCATGTAGATTTTAATGAGAGGGCTTTATGAGTTTAAAAGAGGAAGAGCTGTCATATGGACTGATGCTGTGACCATTCCCCTCTTTAGGCTGGAGCCACAGGTATTTCCTCACCTCATTCCTTCCTCTGCTCCCATCAGCAGCCTCTTCGTGGCTGCCTCAAAATACATCCTGTCTCCTTCCCAAATGATTCCCAAAGACAGAGATGCTGGACACAGGGGAAAGCATGAGCACAGGAGTAGGTTTGCTATGTATCCAACAGTTTACACTGTCTAGAACTAATGTTTAAAATATTCTTAAAAGAGGTAGAGCGCAAGGTACTAATCTAGAATTTAAAAGTGGTGTTTGTGTTACCTAAAAGTAACCAGCTGACACTCAGTCTCTTTGCAGAACAGATATGTGGAGTTTCCTGATCCCAAAGAGCACTCGCTGGTGTTACATAGTTGTGTGTCCTTGAGCTACGAGAAGGGTTTTTCTCTCTTTCTCTCTTTCCCGCCCTCTCTTGTGCCCCCACAAAAATGTTTGCTAGGAATCCTTGTTTGCAGGCCAAATAGCTGCATCCAGATTTACTGAACAGACTGCTGAGGTGCTTGGCTGAGGAACAGTAATACATATTGCATCAAGTGCTCCTGATTTTTTGAAATTTCTTGAACTTAGAGCTTTGTCAACAGTTTTATTTAACATTCCCACTCTCCCCCACATGCCCTTTAACCAAGGCTATGGATGCCCTGGGGTGCAGCGTGGAGCTTCCTTCTCTGCTTATGGGGAAGACACCAGGACTTGCTCTGGCAGCCCAGGCAGGGCGATTTCTGTGTTGGAGTCTTATAGAAAGTTGTGGGCCCTGAGATGAAACCTGCAGAGCAGGGGGACTGGTGTCACTTTGCATGGAGTGGCTGATGCTGCATGAAGGGCAGGTGACAGGAAGGAAAACAGGCCCCTGACCTCAAGCAGAAGGCCTTTATTTTTCCTGTCAGCTGAGGAAAAAGCTGCTCAGGGAGGTTATAGGAATGGAGGTGACTAGCAAGTGCTTTGTGAGCCATTCATTCAGAGGTACGAGTTCCCCTGCGCTGTGTAGTGCTGCAGCTGTGCAATCCTTGTGCCCTTTTTTTCTTTTCCCATTGCCTCCTGTTCCCGCACTGGCCTCACGCCGCCTCCTGGGCTCCACTCATTTCAGCTTTGCGGACATTAGCGCATGGGCTGCCTCATCTCTCACAGTCCTCAGGCTTCCCAGACTGTAACAAAAAGTTTTCTACTGGCAACGCAAACTGCATGACTGCTGCTCCGTGCAGAGCAGCAGGAGGTTTCTGTACTATAATCTTGCACTCTTCAATTTTAGACTTTTTAAGCGGGTGAAAAAAAATAGAACTTTATTTTTAAATGAGACACTTGTTTTGGGGCTTCCTTCCTTGCCCGGTCCAGTCGGCAGGTTCAGGTGTGGGGACAGCAGAGGGGACAGTGCAGGGGGGTCCCACAGAGCAGCTCCTCTTCCTCCCGGGAGCTGACAGAAGCGCGGCGCAGGGGAAACAGGCGCTCGCAGTTGGTGTATCCGAAATAAATTGTGACTTTCTACTTTTCGAGGCGTGCGGCTCTTCATTGCAGGCGGAGGTGGCGGGAAAGCGCGGGGTAGCGCGCGCGCCCGCCCGCCCCCCCACGTGCT